GTCCATCCAGCCCACAGCCAATCTGGACCGAACTGACGACCTGGTGTACCTCAACGTCATGGAGCTGGTCCGGGCCGTGCTCGACCTCAAGAACGAGCTCTGCCAGCTGCCTCCCGAGGGCTACGTGGTGGTGGTGAAGGTGAGAGGCGGGACGGGGCCGCAGACGGGGAGGCGGAGCTGCCCAGCCCAGCCCCAGAGGAGGAACGGGGAGGGGCCAGCAGGTGCCTTTCCACAGAAGACCCCCTTACAGCAAGGTGACCACAGGGAATTTAGTCCCAGGTAGCCTCAGGAGGCAGGCACCCTCCCAGAAGGGCTCTTCCCAAGGGAGATGCGGCTTTCTCAGAAAGCAAAGGGTGGCAGTCACCCTGCCCCTTTCTCTCCCAGAACGTGGGCCTGACCCTGCGGAAGCTGATCGGGAGCGTGGATGACCTCCTGCCCTCCTTGCCTTCGTCTTCACGGACAGAGGTGAGTGTCCTCGTCCAGTCGGTGCCATCAGCCGTCACATCCCCCCTTCACCTGCCCCAGCTGTGTGTCACACAGGAGACTCAGGAGGGCACCACCTGGCAGCCTCATCTCTGCAGCTGAGGCTTCAGCAGGTGGCCCTTGCCCGCATTACCTGAGTAGGTGCCACATGGGGACGGAGCTGGCACCCAGCGACCCCGCCGGCTTTCTAGGGCGAATTTCTTAGTTTAGGTCTCAGATTAGTTGCAGTGACTTCTTACTGCTTGGGGCCATGCACAGGAGGACACACCCTCCCCTTCCCCCCTCTTGTGAACCTTTATCTAGTCACCCACCATACTAAGGTCAAAGTGAGCGTATCACGGAAATAGCGGTTGTTTCTCCGATTGATCATGTGATCTGATTTTCTTTATTCAAATAGAAACAATCACTGAAAGCCAAAAGGGAGCCTTAGTGCTCTGGCTTGAGATGGTGCCCGTGGTCGGCAGAATAATGCCTCCTCCCCTCGCCCCCCGCCACCAAAGACGTCTGCGTCCTAATCCTCAGGACCTGTGGCTCTGCCACCTGACATGGCAAACAGGGACTTTGCAAATGTGATTAAGTTAAGGATCTTGAGATTATTCAGGTGGGTCCAATGCAGTCTTAAGAGTCCCTGGAGGAGAGGGGCAGAGGTAAGGTCTTTCACAAGTCAGAGAAGGAGATGTGGTGATGGAAGCAGAGGTTGGAATGATGCCGTTGCTGGAAGGATGCACAAGCCGAGGAAGGCAGCAGCCTTTAGAAGCCGGAAAAGGCAGGGGATGGGTTCTCCCCTAGATCCCGTGGGAGGCACGCAGCCCAGCCATCGCCTTGTCCCATGGGCCGCACTCCAGACTTCCAGCCTCCAGAACTGTTAAAGAATAAATCTGTGCTGCTTTAAGCCACTGCGTTTGTGGTGTCTTGTTCCTGCAGAATTGGAAGCTGAGGCCATGCCTCTGAACGTCTCTGTAGGTTTTCCACCTGGAAACCAGCCTTCAGCCCCAGCAGGACCCCACAGCCCCTGCCAGGCTCTAGC